TCTTCAGAAGCCCTACTTGTGATGAATTCTGCTATAGCGCTCCCTTTAACCACTTTCTAGCTTATATACTGGATATCAAATTCTGACAATAGGATTTGCCAACGAGCTAATCTTCTAGATAATGTAGACACACCCATTAGATACTACAACGGATCAAGCTTGGATATAAGCCAAGTGTATGATACAACATATATTGCCTTAAGTCTTCAAGTAGCCCATATTAAAGCACAACACAAATTTTCAATTAGTGAGTATCTGGTCTCACATTCAATGAACTTCTTACTGAGATAATAAATGACCCTCTATTTCTTCTCATTTTGGTCATGTTGACCTAGTACACACCCCATTGAATTTTCACAAACTGACAAATAAAGAATTAAGGGTTTACCTGAGAGAGGTGGCGCTAGGATTGGAGTATTCAACAAATATCGCTTATCTGCTTCAAAAGCTTTTTGACATTCCTCGCTCCATTCTCCTGAATTATTCTTTCGAAGAAGGTGAAATATGGGATTACATTTTTCAATCAGCTGCGATATAAATCGAGCTATATAATTCAATTTCCCCAAAAATCCTCGAACCTCTTTTTGTGTTTATGGGGGTGGCAAATCTTGAATGGCTTTTACTTTATACAAATCTATTTCAATTTCTTTTCGGCTTACTACAAATCCCAAAAGCTTCCCAGATGTCACCTCAATAGTACACTTATTTGAGTTGAGTTTTAACTGGCATTTAATTAGACTTTGAAAAAGTTTTCTTAAATTCTCAATGTGTTCTTTTTCTGTCTTGGCTTTGACAATCATATCATCGACATAAACTTCTATTTCTTTATGCATCATGTCATGAAACAATGTTACCATAGCCCTTTGATATGTTGCCCATGCATTCTTCAATCCAAATGGCATTACTTTATAACAAAACGTTCCCCACATTGTGATAAACGTCATTTTTTCCATATCTTCATTGTTCATTTTAATTTGATTGTAGCCAGAGAAACCATCCATAAATGAGAACAAAGAATTTCCAACAGTATTATCCACTAAAGTGTCTATATGTGGCAAAGGAAAATTATCCTTTAGATTGGCTCTATTGAGGTCTTTGTAGTCGACACACATTCGAACCTTTTCATCATTCTTTGGCACTGGGATAATATTTTCCACCCACTCAGGATATTTGGCCACCTTAAGAAACCTGACATCAAATTATTTCTTCACTTCTTCTTTAATTTTGAGCAGCATCTCGGGTGTGATCCTTCTTAGCTTTTAGTACACTTATTTGGGTTGAGTTTTAACTGGCATTTAATTAGACTTTGAAAAAGTTTTCTTAAATTCTCAATGTGTTCTTTTTCTGTCTTGGCTTTGACAATCATATCATCGACATAAACTTCTATTTCTTTATGCATCATGTCATGAAAAAATGTTACCATAGCCCTTTGATATGTTGCCCCTGCATTCTTCAATCCAAATGGCATTACTTTATAACAAAACGTTCCCCACATTGTGATAAACGTCATTTTTTCCATATCTTCATTGTTCATTTTAATTTGATTGTAGCCAGAGAAACCATCCATAAATGAGAACAAAGAATTTCCAACAGTATTATCCACTAAAGTGTCTATATGTGGCAAAGGAAAATTATCCTTTAGATTGGCTCTATTGAGGTCTTTGTAGTCGACACACATTCGAACCTTTTCATCATTCTTTGGCACTGGGATAATATTTTCCACCCACTCAAGATATTTGGCCACCTTAAGAAACCTGACATCAAATTATTTCTTCACTTCTTCTTTAATTTTGAGTAGCATCTCGGGTGTGATCCTTCTCAGCTTTTGTTGTATAGGATTACACTTGGGTTTTATCGGTAGTTTATAGACAACCAATTTTTTTTTATCTAAACCTGGTATATCTTCATATGAACAAGCAAATACATCTTTGTATTCTTGAAGCAATTCTATCAAATTTTTTTGTCCTCCAATAGACAAAATGGTACCAATCTTTACTTTTTTCCTATTTTCATTTGTTCCTAAATTCAAGATCTCAGTAAGCTCCTCATGAGGTAGAATCTGTTTATCTTCCTTTTCCACCATTTTTAAAAATTCAGAAGGTAGTTCACATCCCTCATCATCATCACAATCTATGATTTCCCCTTGACATATAGGCATCTCAAAATCAATCTCCGGGTTAGGGTCATCAGTATTCGTATTATTGATATCTGAGTTCCTGAAAAAATAGTGAAAGAGAATATATATATACATATATACATATGGGAGAATCTTTTCCCATATAAATAAATAGAAATAAATAATACATACATACATATAACAAAGAATGAAAAAAATGCATAAGAGAATGTTTTCCATTTTGAATTAATAAGAATATATCTTTTTATTGAAAGTAAGTAAAAACAGTCAGCTTAACCCTTTACATAAAATCACCTATTGCCCCAGGGTATGAACAATAGGGAAAAGTTCTAGTGCATTACTTTGTAAAAGGCTTGTAAACTACAAGCAGTTTCTTCTCGGTCCAATTGTTCAACTCGAAGCCTAGTGGTGCAGGGTAAATGCTCATAGCTCTCATTTCTTCAAAGTCATCATCTGTTATAACATTAATTCCTAGATCTCCCAAGGCATTCTCAACCATCATTTCCTTGTTTCTTGAATTCCCTTAGAACATATGCCCTCCTGAAATAAAAGTGTTGCTCAACGGTAGGAAGGTCATGGGTTCCCAACTAAGGTCTTCACCATCCAATCTTGCCTTTCTCATTTCCTGACTCTTTTTAATGCATCTCAACTTTCCTCTTAAAGTCGGCTGATAGCCCAACCCAAATCGATCTCTTTTAGCAATGGGGTAAATTGGATGCACATGTACTTGCAACTAACTTCCTAACCCTTTTTCAACCTTCGCTCCTCTTCCAAGGGTCAGTTTGAGTTCCATTTAAGTGCAGTTTGACAATCTAGGCGTTGGTATCTTTTTAACTTCATCCACAAATATAGCATTGACAAACTCTAATGATCTGAAAGAACATTCAACAACTTGCTCCTTTACTTCAATAAACGGTGCAGTAGTAGAAACAGACGCAATGATGTTATTTTCAACATGAATACATATCAACCTTCCATCAATTACAAATTTCAGCCTTTGGTGCAATGTCGAAGGAACTGCACCGGCCTGGTGAATCCAAGGCTTCCCAACAAAAAGTTATAAGTAGGCATAATGTCCATCACGAGAAACTCCACTTCATAGGTTGTTGGACCAATGGTTAAAGGAATATCCATCTTGCCTAACACTTCTCTTTAGTCCCATCAAAAGCTCGAACCACACTTTGACAGTTTCTCATAAGTGTACTGTCCACTAGCTACTTCTTCAGAGTTACCAAGGGTATTACATTTAAAGCTGAACCATTATCGACCAATACTCTAGACAGAACGTGTCTCTTGCACCTAACTGTGATATGCAGAGCTTTATGACTGCCTATCATCCCAAAAGGGACCTCATCCTCGAAAAAAGAGAGAAAGTTATCAGCTTGTATATTGGTAACTAATCGGTCTAACTTTTCTATGGATAATTCTTTTGGCACAATGGTCTGGTTCAAAAAATTTTAACAAGCCATTTCGATGGGCCTCTGAACTGAAAAGAATTGATAAGACAGAGATACAGGCAAGTAGCTTGTGTAGTTGCTCCACAATATTGTACTCAATGTGCTTCAGGAATTTTAAGAATTCCATTGCTTCATTCTCCATTACAAATTCATTAATGACGGGCTCATCTTCTTTTATCTGCAAATCAACCTTTTTTCCCTTATCAATAGTAACCTTCTTCTCAGGCGCTTTAGGTTGGTTAATAGAATAACACCTTCCACTTCTGGTAAAATATCCCACCTCACCTATTTCCTCACTTTCTTTTGTTGCCTCTCCCATCTGACAAGTATACCTCCATGGTACCTGTTTATTATCTTTGTATAGGAACGAAGATGGAAGTGTGGAAACCACCTTCAGAGCTACCTTTTTTATCACTCGAGTCTTGGGAGTAATGATTAAGGGACAACTAGTATTGTAAACCCCTTTTGACGACCTTTCAGAAGCACAAATTTCCATATTCTCTTCTTCAGCAACTTCTTTAAAAAACTCAATTTCTTTATTATCCAACATTTCTTATACCAGAGCTAGGAAATCAGGACACTGTTGTATAACGTGTCCCTCACAATTATGGTAATGGCATACATCTTCACTAATAATTTGTTCACATGACATAATGGGTTTCAACAATCCGACCTTAATCATCTGACACCATACCCAATGCATGGGTGATTCCACCTCACTAACATTTTTTATAATCATTCTTTGTTTCTTTTCAATAATTGCATTAATCTCTGCTCTTGCATGGTTCAGCAATGGATTTTGGGCTATATTTGGCTTTTCGCCAAAATTGATGATATTCCTCGTTCTCAAGCTTTGAACAACCTTCTTAAATACAATGCAGTTCTCGATGGAATGTCTGGGATTCCCTGCATGGTACTCACATTGAACACTAGCATCGTACCATTTGGATAAGGAGGTTGTATTGGTGACGCATGATAAGGTGAAACCACATGTCGGTCATATAATATCTGAAACAGTTCCTTATAAGTCATCGAGATCAGATCGAATTAAGGCATTTCTCTATATTATCTTATCTGGTCCCTTGCCCCTTGTCTATTGTTATTTTGTGTTGATGATTTTGTTCCTTGAGGTCGGGTCACGATGATATTATTAGAGTCATATTTCCTCACATTGCCAACTCCATTTTCTTTCTTCCTCATTGGTTGTCTCTTATTAGACTCCCCTCCCTCAAGCTTTCCACTTTTGACTACCATTTCAATTATTTCTCCAGCTATAAACATGTCAGCAAAGCTTTGATAAGGATTACCTATAAGGGGTGTGAAAAATGAGCCCTTAGGGTATTGACGAATGTCATATTTATCTCATCCTCTTCCAGTGATGGGTGAACTTGCACGGCCACGTCCCTCTATCTTTGAGCGTATTGTCTAAAACTCTCATTAGACTTCTTTTCCATTCCTTGTAACATCATTCTATTAGGTCTAACATTCTTCACATGTTTATACTGCTTAAAAAAGGATTCAGCCAGGTATTTCCATGACCTAATATTAGCTCTACTCAGTTGATTATACCATTGGATTGCTGAACCTGTTAAGATTTCCTGGAAGCAATACTGATCATCTCCTATGTATCCAGTCATCTTTCTACAAAACATTGTAATATGAGAAGAGGGACACCTAGTACCGTTAAATTTCTCAAAATCAAGAATCTTAAACTTCGGGGGCAAAACCAAATCAGGAACTAGACTCAATTCTTTAGCATTGAGTCATAGACACTGTCATATTCTTTCATGGCTCTGATTTCCCCTTCTAACTTTTCCATTTTTCCTCCAACTTCTTGTTTTGTTCTTTCCTAGCTTCTTCATCAAGATCAGGAACTTGGGGATATTGATCTTCTTCAGGATGTGAACTAGATCCAGTATACAAATTCACAGAGGCACCGACTGGATTGATGTGTACTTTTTCAGTATGAATAGGCGTTTCTTCAACATTCTGAGATTGCACTGGGGTGAACCCTAGGGGGTAAAGTGGTACATCGGTTATAGTTCTGGGCACAAGGTTTTTTTCATATTCAAGATTTATTCCTTCTAGTAGACTTGCAAACTTAACAAACATTTCTTTCTGAGCATTCAACATGTCTTCTTGGATCTTCCTCATATTCTCTTGCAACTCTAGATGAGTTCTCTCAATTTAAGTGATTTTGTCTTCTATGGCTTTCTTGCTGGCGTTATAAGGATGCTTGGAAGTTTCTGGTATTCTGTCACACAGTCCTTTTATTAATGTTGATATTTTATTAATGAATATGAAATATATGATTATGAATGAATAAAATGTGGTGCAAAAAAATTAAATGCATTGTAAAAAAATAAAAACGCATATGCAAAATGCAGGGTGCTGATCATGGAATGACTCCTTAGAACAAATTTTTATATTATAAACGAAGTTCAATTACAAGGTTGGAATATATCACAGATAAATCTGCACTATTTCTCCTATTTGTTGTATATGTGCCAGCATCTCCATAATCCTCTGGTTTTCTTCAGCCTCAGGCTCCATTTCTTCACCTACAACAGCAGCTTCATGAGACAAGTTGACCAAATATTGAGCTATTCCTTGAACATGCTCTAAGTAGCAAGCAATGAGGTAATCTCTTTGTTTAACTCTTTCTTGAGATTTCTCCCATCGATAACGCCACTGCATAACCCCTTATTAAGGAACTACCGGAAGCTTATTTGTTCGCCTCTAAAAATTCTGAACCATAGCCTCAAGCTCACTTATTCGTTTCTTCATACTTTTAACCTCTCCATGGCTTGAACTACCTTCTCGACTTTGGTATATTCGTAATGCAGCCTCTAAACTTAAAATCTTCCATTTCAGTTTCTCATTTTGGGCTTGATTCTCTTGTAATCTTTGCTTTAAAGAACTCTTTTCTTTCAATAGAACCTTAACATGATGCCTACTTTGCTTGAGCTCTTCTGTACTTTCTCTGGGTTCACTCTTTAGGCTTGTCACTTATTGTCTCCATTCAGAAGATGATTTACTTGAACTGGAGGCTATCAGGGCTTTCACCATTCGTTGGTAGGATGATTGAAGATCTTTAAAGTCCAGTCGAAATTGTTTCTCCACCTTTTCAATTTGACTTGCTCGATCCTTCTGAATATCAATCTTCAACTCTTTTTGATATACTTCATCCTTTAATTTTTTTCAAAGTCATTCTCCATTGCCTTCTTTCTACCTCAAAGTCGCACTTAGCTAGCTCAAATAGAGGTGAAACCACTATTAGATGTTCTTCCATAGGATGAATATTTTCAGGATTAACCATCGGGACATTATCATTTACTCGATTGCTCCTCTATTGTTCATACTCCTGAGATAACTCGAAATCAAAGGTGAAGAGATTCACACGATGAGTATGTTTCCATGCATCGACAACCCCCTTGACTTTACTTTTGTATTGTTCTCCATTAAATGCAAAATCTGACCCTAACAAGTCCCATGTAGCTAGAATAAATTGCCTTAACCCATATTGTCTATAAACTAGCAAGGTGCATATCATACAGAACCCCAAATACCTAGAAAAAAAACCAGTCTCACTCTTCACATTTGTAAAGTATATATGAAAAAACATTCTACAAAGCTCGCCACAATATCACCATCCCTTATATCCTTGAAGATAATCATCCACTTTTCTTTAGTAAAACCCCAGGCCATTCTTTGGAAAGAAAATCCTTCAAAGGTGAAAACCCTTCCAGAAACACTCGTCCTGGTGCTCTTTCAACACGCTTGAAGTGACTAAGAATCCATACTAGCAGTAGGGGCGAACATCTTATAAAGCATCATTCTCCTTCTCATCTATAAGAACATAAAGAAAGAAATGTCTCGGCTAGATTGGTTGGAACATGATCCATATGCTTGTCTAATCTCTTGAACAGATCTACAACTGATATGTCTACATACCCCAGTACATTCGAAAAAATAACAAGCCCATAAATCCCTAGATCAAACAAGTCAAGCTTCTTCGTCTTGTCTGGATGACGATCAATTACTTCCTTCAGAGCAGTCTAAAAGATGCACTCACTTTCTCCTTTATTCTTAATGTTTCTAACAACCTATTCTCCGCTCATTCCAGTCATCAGGAGCAATTTCTTCTTTAAAAAAGGAGTGACTGAAAATTTGGTGTATATTCTGTCCATTTGAGATCTCATACAACATATCAAAGCTTGATACTCCCCTATGGTGGGTGTCAAATCCACTATTCCAAAAGTAAAGCAGATGTAAGTGGGATTCCAGAATTGTGCCAAGGTTCTGAACAGGTTTCGGTCAATTGGAACATATAGGAGATAAAAGATATCACCATACAACTGATAAAACATATGCTTATAAACTACTTCCCATTTTTCCCATACTTCTTTTAGCTCGCTCAGATCGTTCTAACGTACATTGATATGGGTGTAACTAAACAACTTTAACACATATCTGGGCATCAAACTATCTCCATTGGTTAGCTGGGACTGTTCAGACCATCTCAGAACATCTGCATTGTCTTCAACCTCTTTCTAAACCTTTCATTCTATATTACTAGCCTTCTATATGGGCATCGATCACGAATCAACACCATGAAATGGATAATACAATTCAAAATAAAAGAATATAAAGAAAAGATAAAAGAAAATCAGCTAGTAAACATAAAGAAGTTAATCAGGGATAATAACTTGTTAATAAATCCTACTCTCATATGCTGGATACCCAATTATGCTTTGTCAGATCCTACTCATACATGATATCTACCCCCATGCTTTGTTTGAACATTAAAAACCTAACCTCATGCTATCTAGTTCACATGCTTACCCGAGAAAAGTAAACATAAACGCATGATTTCTAGTTCACATATAATTATTGGGAAAAGAGAAATTAAATGACTCAAAAACTTTTCCTTGTGTACCATCCTCACGGGACTATTAAGGTTCAAGTTAGGCTCGTCCTAAGTTTAGGCTATATGTTCACTATATGTTGGGTTCGACTCTAGAGTAATAGGTTCTCGAATTGTCCTTGTCGGTGCCCCCTTGGGTTGCCTGTTGCTGAACCCTTAATCTTGACCTATCATAGGCTTTTAGGGATCGAGTTCAATTCGAGGGAACACACCTCCTTATGTCCGTGCGGAGGTGAATACCATCATGAGGACCATAAGGCATGAGCTCCAGGAGCGATCCACTATCCCATGCGGAGGTGAAAACCACACGAGGGAGTAGTTTCTCACTCATACTTAAATATGACATAACAGAGTTTTAGCTCATGTTATGATGATACAATGTAGTGTGTGAGGAAAAGAAAAAACACATAATCACAAAACACTCAAATCAATTACCAAATCTTTTAAAACACACAACAACAACAACAACAACAAAACCCTATTCCCATATACAATGGGGTAAGGGGGAGGTAGGGTAGTACGCTGCCCACAAAACACACAATCAATATGAAAACATCAACAAACAAGTCAGTACAATTATTTAGTGGTTAATCAAATTATAAACAAAAAATTTAAAACCAATCAAGGGATCAAAAACCAAATTAGAACGAATTTATAACTTTTATTCACAAAGATAATTAATTAATCGACTATCAGTCTAACTATCTAAAAAAAGTACCCTGCGGTGTCGCCAAGCTGTCGAAACGATTTTTTTCTTAAAAATGATATTTTTAAAAACCACACCACTTTTAATTCTTTCTTTATGGTTATTTTTTAATTAAAAAAATAAATGTGATTTAAAAAAAAACCTCTCGTTTCAAAAAATTTGGGATTCTTGTTAAAATAAAAAACGTATTGTTCGAGGAGTCGCCACCAATCTTTGATTAAGGTGTGATTGGGCACCCAAAAATGTTGCCATTTTAAATAAAATTAATTTTAATTAAAACAACAAATTAAGGTATGGGTTACCAAAATTAGAGTTCGGGAGTCGGTTACGCGTGGGGTACATCACCCTAAATCGGCACATATTCTATTAATTAATGACTTTGCAATGAAATTTACAAATTTGAATTTAATTTAATTTATGATCCCACAAAACAATAAAAAATGAATTTAATAATAAAATATAATAATATTTAATTATTTCCTATCGAGAAGAAATAAATCCCTCATAACTTGATGTAATCAATTCTTACTCCAATCGAAATACAAAAATATTATAATTTCATTGAAATATTCAAATGCACTAAATAGATTAAATTAAAATTACCAAGCCTTTTTAGAAAGATGAAGAATATTTGATTATTTTAAAATATCGAGACCAAATCTTAGATAAGTTATAACAATCTTTTCTCAAAAAATTTAAATAACCGACCATTTGTTTTCTTTCATTCCCAAATTTTAAATGACAAATCATTTGTTTAGGTTTCACTGTTGGTGTACACTTTCAATTTAAAATCGTCGAAAGTGACTATCTAATTAGTTAAGACAAGCCCTTCAAAACAATTTTAAATTTAAAAAGTATTACTCTTAATCCAATTATGTGATAGGAGTCAAGTTATGCACATGAGGGTATCATACAATTCATGTAAAAAAATGTTATACAATTCGCAAATAAAAATAATTCACATACTTTTACATCACAAAACGTATCAACATGCAAAATAAACATGACAACTAATTGAAGAAAGTAATCCTAAAAATGGACTAAATTAAAACAAATTTAAAAGTAAGGACTTAATCTAAAAGAAGTAATATAAATTAGGGAAAAATTTGAAATCTTAATCTAATAGTTCAGATGAAAAAGTTCTAACAATTAAGGCTTAAAATCAAAAGTAATCTACCTAAGTGTTCAATTTATACTAAAAGACTTAAAAATTAAATTAAAGGAAATCTAAAATAATGACCTAAAATTAAATATCAAACAAAACACCAAAATGCACAAAAAACAGAGAATTAACACATAAATAAAATGATAAAAGGACTTAAATTAACAACTTAGTATGGGGACTAAATTAAACTAAACATACTAACCTTAAAATAATGACTAAATTCAAGTAAATGTAAAATTAAACATATAAAATTGGAAATAAACCAATGACCTAAAAAAAGCGTGATAACAGTGACTAAAGCATAAATACACGGTGAATTTTCAGGAACCTTAAATAAATTAACCCTAAACATTTACTATAAAACCCTATTTTAGAGTAACCCTAACTTAATTTTAAACTAAACAACTCAGCCGCATCTCTCCATCTCTAAACCACCGTTCTTTCTTTTTTCACTTTCTTTGAAGAGAAGATGGAGACCACGACCACTAACGACCAGGGCCCTTTTTTGGGTTCTCCGATGAAGACCCAACACACGAAGCTCGAAGGCTCTCTTCGGCATCGGAACCTCCACGATCCAGGTAACCTAATCTTAAACCCACTAATTTTCTTGAGATTTATAATAGAGAAGAATGATTCCTTCGAAAAGGAAGCCTTTTTTTTGCTTCGTACTGCTCCTTGAGATTTATACTAAGCTACTCTTTTAAAAGCTATTGTTTTTTGTATTTGAAAACCCTCTCCTTCCTCTAGTTTATTTTCGCTTTTTTATTTTTTTAAAACACGAAAAATAGTTGTTAAGAATCAAAGAAAGGAAAAGGAAAACCTTTGAACAAAAAATGTTCCTCTATGTTTTTTTGTCTGTTTCGAATATGGGAGAAAAACAATCTGTTACATTTTTTTTCAGTAAGGAACTCCCAAATGAACTGCGACCTACACTTCGGCAATGGTAGGATCAACAAAAGGAAAGGTAACAATACTAAACTCTTTCTTTTCTCACATCTTTTATTTCCTTAGAAATAAGAACACCCATAAAGAATACTGGAAATTGAAAGGAAGATAGAAAATACCAAAAAAATAGTTCTTTGTTTTCTATTGCTTCCACGGTTTTTGAATACAATGGTGAGACTCCTTGTAACTTTTCTTGCTTGTATTCGAATGCTAGAAAAAAATGCCTAGTTTGTATTGCTTGCCTCCAAAGAATTATGGTCGAGAGATCCCTACAAACAAATATTTCTCTCTGTTTTATAGCTGATGGCTCTAGGGTTTTTTTTCGTGCTTCTGTCCTTTCCTTAATTGTTGATGCGTATTTTTTTTCCTGCTCTTTCCCTTTCTGTTTGTGGATGCATCGCTGGTATCTTTTTTTTTTGGCCCAGGAATCAGTTTTGGTTATTTTGTTGCAGGTACAGACGAAACGGTTGAAGAGGAACAACTGGCTTCTTGTGGCATCATTGGGGTAATCTTGACTTGATCCAACGGTCAGCACAGTGTGGCGCTGGAACATCCAACAGAGAACTCTAATGAGTTTAGGGTTCTCACTAGTGGGCTAGAATATTTGGGCTTGACATTGATCCAGGCTTGCTTCAATTTGGCATGGGTCTGCTCCAATTTTGTCTCCATTTGGACTGAGTGTAGTGTTACTTTGTAATTGGGCCTTGTAAAAAAATAAAATATTTAATTAGTATTATGTTAAAGTTCAATTGATATATGTACATATTTAATATTAATAATTTATTTATACTCTATATAATAATAATACGTATAACATATAAATACCCTAACAATTTATATAATTAAACAATATTAATTAATAAATCTAACTAATATAAATATAATTACTTAAATATAAAAACCCAATTGAAACTCGAGTATAAACCCTGGACAAAATGAGCTTCTACATTGTCCTGTTGAGAAACGAAAATTATATATAATCTTATAATTCTTATTGAAACTGAAACAAAGAGAGCGACAATAATTCTGGTTGTACTTCTAACATTATTGATTCTGGCATGAATCTAGAAAACAGGATAACGATATTACAATACTTTAATACCGCAAACTGCAGATGTCTGCTTAGTTTGGAGATTAATGCTTCTTGTTTTTCCAGTTCTGCTGGATGTAGACTCTAACTGCACATATAATCATCGTTATCGGACCGAGAACCCTGGGAAGCATTAGATATGTTGAGTTTGAACTCGAGACTTGAAATCTTTCAACTTTGGCATTTATAACAGGATCCACTATGTAGTTCAAAAAGTGCACGAGGAGCCTAATTAAAGTCAATCCAAGGTAATAGGCTTCCTTCAAGGATTTACCAGGCATTGCCATCAATCCATTGCTAATAATCTGAGGAAGCAGAAAGTAGTTTTGTAGAAAATAAACTAAAACCTCCATTGCACCCATCCGAGTTTGCAATATTTGCTGCCCATTTCTTGGTTCATGCATGTCGTTTTCAATATTTAGCTGTTGTACTTGTACATCAGGATTATATCCAGCAACAAGCCAAATAAGAAACCCGAAAGTGTATATAGCCATGCTACTCAACAATACCCTTTTCTCTCTAGAACCGTATCTTGGGTTAGAGGAACCTTGGAAGAGCGTCTTACTTCTAGATTCGGTTACCACATTGAAAAGTCTTGCAGTAAGTAGTATGACAACCAGCAAAAGAGCCCTTTCGAAACTTTGTAGGAATTTCAACATTCCATACTCATGTTGATCACTAGGCAATGCATTGTAAGCTTCGGGTTCCATTGATTTCAGTATGACTTTGCCACCATAGATCAGTGGAAGGCTATATCCAAGGAACTGAAAAGCAATCATGGTAGTAGAAATGTAAGGAGCGATATCTGCGGTTACCTTCATGTATGAGAGTTGGTTCCATATGATTGCAATCGATACTGTGAGCAGTACAATGCCTACAATCACCACCAAGTATGCTCGATTTGCAGCTGCTTTCAAATAATCTGGATATTGAGTCAAACGAGCATGAATGGTAATCAAGCTAAAGTAGAGAGGATCGTATTCTTTTCTTTGGCTACTGAAGGTGATCTCGGCAATTGGTTTTTTCCACCATTGTAAGTTTACAGGTGGATACTGAATTTTCACTGATATAAGACAATCTTGGCCTCGTTCAATGCTGACACTTGCCACCGAAGCCTTCCTACATCCAATCAAATGCATCTCACCCATAATAGGATCATATACACCTTCCAGGTACAATTCAGAGATATTCTTGTAAGTTGTTTGCTTGTATTCTCTCATGTTGCTGAAAGCGAGATGCATCGACACATTCCAGAACCTGCAGCTTGTGAGATCATCTTTTGAAATGTCTGGTTTCCTACAGAGATTTCCCTTCACAAAATTGGGTTCAGACCATCCAGATAATGGACCCAAAGAAAGTACCTGAATAGTCAAGACTCGGGATTCCGGTCCAGCAATCAGTTGACCATCTGGGACTGCATAGCCAACTAATGCAAGGTCTTCGGCCAATATGCTTAGCTGAGCAAACGGGTCTTCTCCATCTTTTAGAGCTGGATACAGGAAGAGCCACTGCTTGGCAATGTTTAGAATTTGATAAGATAGAGTTACCTTTTGGAATGCACTGACCAAATTGATCTTGGAATAATTGTAAGGTAAATATTCCGTGAAATCTCTTGCGCCTATGCCTTTCCTTGCATTGAAATATAAAGGATTGTCTAGAGCTATATCCTTTTTCACATTGATTATGGTTCCAAACAAAAAGCTTCTCTGATTAATGGAAAATGATTGTGGAGAGTACATTGCAATCACATAGTCACATCCTTCGGATCCCATGTCGACTGTCCCTTGACATCCAACCATGAAAAGCTGTCCAGAAGAAGAATTCCATATACCCTCAGTGGCCAAAGTCGAACCAGAAAGGCCGGTTCTTAATCTTTCGAAATATTGAAAGCTTCCTTTGGTAAATGCTCTCAGCACTGCAGAAACATTTGCAATGTCGGTTCTGTTAGGATCCTGCTCGCATTTGACATGTTGGAAAATGAACTCAACATTGTCATAGCTCAAATCACCACCAGCATCCATCTCATTCCCGAGCATGAAAGGGCCTAAGTTGCCATGGATCTGGAGCTTATGGCTACTGCTGAACCTGTAATTTGGAGCAATACTTGAAAATATTTCTCTATATTCATAGTCAAGTACCGCGCAGAAGTCTCTAGCAGTAAACATCTGGACACCACCTTCCATCATTTCATCTTGGTAAGGGGGAGGATCAAAAGTTGTAGACTGTAGCAATTCTGAACTAAATTGATATTTCGAGTGGCCATTCATTTGAGAAGATATATAAACTTTACTGAAGTACCTTGGCCCTCCTTGTGTATTGAGACTTAACATTTCTCCCCGGATTGCTCTTTTTGTCAATTTGAAGATTTTAGGATACCGTAGAACAAGCAAAACTTGATCATCTTGCAAGAAACGAATATGGCGGCGGTTGTACCTTGGAATTTGGCTGTTTTGCTCCGAGAATACATCATATTCACATGTATCAGTACAAGGTAAGATTGAAGCTGAACTTCCTACCAAACACATCAAACGCTCTCCTCCATTCTCTTCGGTCTCCATATAAACCCCTTCGAAAACAATGTTCACAACAGATGAGCCTGGATTCATCATCGTAGGATCTAAGATGACCCATCAGAAAATGAGCTATCCCTGAATATGCCTATGGATAGAACCCCTCCAAGACTTACTGTGTTGTTAAGTTGGTGGATAGAATTGACATCCTTCACCTCAAAGGAGGCCAACTTAAGGAAATTTGTGCCAATGGTTCCATTGTCATCAAATTGTATCAATGGAGCCCCATCAGTTTCCTGCTCCCAATCTCCAAGAGAGAAGGAGAGTTCATTCTTGTATCTACTACTTCCCCTGTTGTAATCCGGTTTCAGTTCAAAGGCTGAGGCTAGAAAAGGGCTGCAATGCTTTTGAATATCAGTAGACCGGTTGTACGCAAAGACCAATGAAGAATCAGGACGGATCATGTCCATTTCAGAAGGCTCTATAAAAGCATTTATTAGAACTGACAACTGTACCAACATCCAGAGAAGAAGAACGAAATGTTGAACCTTCATTGCAGGAGAGTTGATAAGACCAGCCCCCAGTTCTTTTATGCTTAAATAGTTGATAGAACATGAATATAAGTTTAGGGTAGCCAAAGAAAGTCAAATGATCAGAAATAATATTTCTGATGCATCAGCTGTGGATGGTACTGACAAGATACCAGCAAATATTCTCAAAGGCTGAATATAGAGTAGTGGCCTAGTGGGTGTTAAAATTGGATCGAAAGGAAGGTGATGAAGCATCTTTTATGGTGGCAAGTTTGAATATTAATACACAACAGCTACTTAAATTGCCATGTTCTTGGTAACAGACAAAACCCAAAGTGGCATTAGAAATATATGGTAGTTAGGAGTCCCAAGTTTTAATATTGCGTATACTTTGGTGGGGGGGGGGGGGGGTGAGAATTATGAGTAGTTTAGGTATTGAATCAAAAAATAGTGCATGATAAAATTCTGATTCGAGGTCGGTCCCCAAAACTTTACAATCTTTTCAATTGAGTCTCAAAATCTAAAATTTTAATTTTGAGGCATTACATGCCTAAAGGAACAATGACGATGTACATGTTTTTGTAACAATTACATTTTTATTGCTTGTTATCATGCTTCTTGTAACAACCCAAAAAAAAAAATAGTTCAATCGGTGTAATTTGGTGAAATTTAATGACTAAAAATTAAAAGTTTTCAAAATTTATAGGTCATTTTAGAAGTTGAAGAAAATTCAGGGACCAAACCCTGAATTCCTCCAAGAAGTGTCGACAGGCTTGTATTATAAGCGTGTTTTCTGATTGAAATCAGAAAACACATTCTTTATTTGCTTAAACTTTCTTCCTCTCGTACCTCTACTTTCAAGCTCAATTCCGACGCCGTCCGACTTCCAATCGTAAAATTGAAACCACCATCGTGTTCATCGTCGACCCGTGAACAAAACCCAGTAAACCAATTTTAGCGAAACGCTGCCAAACGCCGTGAATTTCGAGTCAAAGTATCGACGTTTTTTTAGCACCACCGCCGGGAAAATCTTAAATTCATATCCGATTGTTGATCGGTTTTCAACACCTCCCGCACCATCGTGTTCCTGGTGTCGTTCCGTGTCCGACGGTGTCGTCCTTGTCTCCGTAGGCGACGACGTTTGTGAGAGGTGGAGCGGTCAAAGATTCAGCCGAGTTGAAATCGAGCTCTCCACCGTTAAAAAATTTGAACCGAGGTTGGTAAGTGACTCAAAATCGCTTAAAATAATTTTGAAAATTTTTGCAGGAATTTTTGGAAACCAGAGGAGGTCTCACGCGCCCCCACGCGCCGCCCCTGCGCGTGGGGAAAGATGCGAATGGCTGGGTGATGTTGTGACCGGTTTCACCGGCGGTTTGACCGGTCTGAACCGGGTTGATCGGTCTGACCCGACCCGACCGTTGACCCAACCCGACCCAGTGACATTCTGGGAATTATTTTGAAAAAGGTGACATTCTGGGAATTATTTTGAAAAATATGACATTCAGGGAATTATTTTGAAAAAAAAATGGCATTAAATTATTTTGGAAAAAGGTACATTTTGGGAATTATTTTGAAAAAGGAGACATTTTAGGAATTTTCGAATGTGGACTATTGAACCCCTTTGACCGGCTTTAAACAGCCATTAAACGACCTTTGATTTTATTCGAGTATACCTATTCTGACATTGGTCAACGTGCCAAATCCGTTTCTGAAGTCCGTTTCGCCAAATTCGAACCCGAAGGCCTCCAAATCATCAGTCAAACCCGTTGACTTTGAATTTGACCAAGAATTTGAATTTTTGAAAAGTCATACTTTATGTTTTTCGATGTCCTGATTCCGATTCCGTAATTCGTTTGGTCAAATTCAGACTCAAAATTCTCCAAATTAATAGTCAAACCCGAAAATACTTATATACTTAAGAATTTTAGCTTTGATCAATTAAGTAAGACTTGTGGTTGATAAATTATTATTGTTTGAAGGTACAAGAGACTCTCCGGATCGTTCGAAAGCTCGTCCCAACTCTTCTAGATCAGTTAAACCACGTGTGCCAGTATTCACCCGTAAGACCCGTAAATTTTATGATTTTAGAGATTAATTATGTTACCCATTAGTAATATAGTGTTATTATAAATTAGGTTCAAAAACTGTAGCAGAGCGTGCTGAGACCAGCAATCAGTAGATCTACTACTTGAACCTACTATCAAGGTGTGTTCCCTATTTATTACTGAACTATTTTATTTGTTTTAATATGTGGTACACTGAATTCTTTGGTTATTGTTTTATTGATGCACCGATTTAATGTGATAGTTTATGGATTATGACCGCTATCTGATTTTGTTTTGAAATGGTATATGATTACCATGTTTATGGATTTATGGAATTTATGTCACGGTGCAATTGAATTTTTGGAATACGAATTTATAAAGTATAGCCCTGATCAAGCTGGAAAATTTTACGGATCTAATGTGACTCTTAGGTAGGCTCTGCGGCCCTGAGATCATTCTCGGGTAGGCCCTGCAGCCCTAAGATGTGTTCTTAGGTAGGCCCCATGACCCCGAAATCTATCTTGGGTAGGCTCTCAGGCCTTAAGATGTTCCATTAGGATAACTCTTTTATGGGATTTACTGTAGTATAATTTTTATGAGATTTACTGGACTATGATTTGTTTAGTGTACCTATCATGATTTTATAGTAATTTTGGGACACACTGAGCCTAGTTCACTTTTCGAAAATGTTTTCCCCTTTCAGATACTGTTGGTTAGATTCCTGATTGAGCACTTGGAGGATCAACATATCTCTTGAAGTATATCATATTGTAATGATTTATCTTTTAAGTTTACACTATTTTGGTAACATGGGCCTTATTTTAAAGTATTAGATTTTATAATGATTACTCTTTTGCTATATATATTTTGATTTATTGTAAATTTGGATTTTTAAGACATGTTTAAATTAATTTGTATTTTTATAGTATAAATTATTATAATTTCATAAACGTCATTTATAATGTGATTTTATCATGATTGAATAATGGTTTCGGAACAATATCTTTAAGAATCATGAATGTGATTCACTAGACTTAGTCGAAATACATAGACCGGGTCTAGGGGGTTACATTTAATTGGTATAAGAGCTTTTGGTTTTTAAACCTCGGACTGTGTATGAGTCCAAATTGAAAATATGGTTTTGAAATATTTTACAAAACCTGTTGTTAAGGCCATGTCTCAAAGTTTTTACGATTTTAATTGTGTTTGAGACTCCAAGTTCTTATCTAACCTTAAGTTTTATCTTCTGTAGTAAACTAGAGATCTACTAAAATGAGTGCTAGACGTGGACGTCAAACTAGCCGAGGACGAGGTCGAGTGGCTAGATTTGTAGACCCAATCGACGAGATTCGAGTAGATCCCCCACCTCCGACAAGTGATTCTGCTCATAAGACCCCGACAAATTTACCTCCTGCTGCTGGGATTGGCATGACTACACCGATCAGGGGAGCAACCGATAGTGAGCCTGATTCTACCAGAGTTGTATTTGATGAGAATTTTGGTAGACAATTTTTACAGTTGATTCAAGGAGCGGTCAGAGCTGCTGGTGCTGGATCCGAGGTGCATATTTCTCAAACTCTGATCGCCGATGGGGTCAGGACTTTTGGAGGACAACTTGGAGGAATTCCTACTGAAGCAGAAGATTGGCTTCAAGATACAGAAAGACGCATGGATCAGTTGGGTTTTGACCCAACTAAGAGATATTTGGGGTAGTAGCGATGTTATATGGCAATGCCCACACCTGGTGGGAGTCAGTGACCAGTAGTGTTCCTACCGATCGTTTGACATGGGATTTCTTTAAGGAGCGCTTTCGGAGCCGATTCCTGGGGGAGCGTTACTTAGTCCAGAGGCGAAAGCAGTGTCAGGACTTGGTTCAGGGTGATATGACTGTTTTAGAGTATGAGATAGAGTTATTAAAATTGTTAAAGTATATAATCAGTCTGGTGCCTACCGAGAGAGATCGATGCCGTAAATTTGCCCTCGGACTCATACACGAGCTACGTAGGCAGGTGGTAGCCCTTCAAGATGAGATTTTTGGTGAGCAGAGCCAAGGATGCTGAGGAGATAGAGACTTTAGCTTCTGGTAGAGAGCGTGTTGATCAGGAGCGATCTAGGAAATCTTTTGGCCCTACTGAATCATCCGCATAGTCCGGTAAGAGGATTCGTACTTCAGCCCCTCAGAGGAGAAATACACGCTTCAGGCATGCAGCATCATCACCTTCAGTTGTTAGTAGAGGTGGTTCTTCGGTTCCGTTTCAAGTGCCTTATTGTGACTTTTGTGGTAAATGGCACATGGGAGAGTGTTATAGGAAGACCGGAGCATGTTTTCATTGTGGATCTAGTGGTCATTTTCAGAGGGATTGTCCTCAACTAGCTTCGTCTGAGCGGACCGCTACCCAAACTCTTGTGCATTCACAGACTACAATACAGACTCCAATTAGAGATTGTAGCCAAGTAAAGGCTCGTGGTTCAGCGTCCAGGACAGACAGTAGAGACCGACCTCAGCAGAATAGAGGACCAA